ATATAGACTTATACTTATCAGTTCAAATATTCGGGTTTGTTGTATATCTATTCGATCTAATTTCAGACCAAAGTTAATTTAGATTTGGTTCAAGGCCTAAGCAGGTAAAGTCCTTTATACCTCAAGACAAAAAGACCTCAAAACCCATTAAAATAAAATTATGATGAAAAGACTTCATCCTTAAGTTTGTTTTAGGTTCTCCAAACCTTGAGCAACCCCTAAGCCAATCTTTATGGAGTAACCAAACTTCTCCAAAACCATACCTCAAAATTTATGCACACTTTCTCCCCAAGGGAAACCGAAATCCCCTTCTCCTAAACATCAAGAAAAAACCCACAAATAATTGTAAAATCCAAAGAAAAATAATAAAATAAAGTATATAATAATAAAAAATAAAATAAAATAAATTATTTTTGTGTTTTATAGGAAGTCGTAATATTTTTATGTAATATCATGGTATTGTATATGAAGTTGTGATATTTTTATATGTTGTTATAATGTTTTATAGGAAGTCGTAATATTTTTAAATGATGTTGTGGTGTTGTATATAAAGTTGTAATAGTTTTATTAATTGTGTGAGTGTTTTATAGAAAGTTGTTGTATTATTTATATGTTGTCTTAGTTGTTTATAGGAAGTTGTAGTATTTTTATAAGATGTTGTGATGATGTATATGAAGTCGTAGTATTTTATATGGTGTCGTGGCATTTTATAGGAAGTTGTAGTATTTTTATATGAGGTTGTGGTGTCATATGATGTCATGTTGTTCTATATCGTGGTGTTTCTTATGAAGTATGATGTTTTATTGTTGTCGTGTTATTTTATATGATGGCATGTGGTATGAGTTGTGGTGGTAGGTTGACATGTTTGTTCTTGGTTACCGAGTTATGTATGAACTTGGTTGGTTGTTGTTCGACTTGTTATAAATATTCTCTGTGGTGTTTGTTGTGATTATCATGTTGTTGTGATTAAGGGCTAAATTGTCTAGTATGTGTAGTGTTAATTATATTGTATTTTAAGGTTTATCATTAGGTGAACATTGTCTTGAGGGTTGTGCATGTGAATTAGCTTTGGACATGAGACACTACACATGTTTGTGTGTATTGAATGTACTTTGGGTTGGTCATTTTATTTTATAGGGATTAGGGTTTTATGATGCATAGAAGAGTGAAAAAAAATTGATGGAGAATGAGTTATGATGCTTATGTGATGAACCATAGTGTAGTGTTGGTTCCATGTCATTGTTAAAATTTTGCCTCTTATGTACTCATGGTAGTGTGCTCAAGGAAGTCCTACTTTGGCAAGTGGGTCCTCCTTGAGTAAAGAGGAGAGTCCTACTTTGGTAAGTTGGTAAAAAGAATTGTGGAAGTCCTCCTTTGGAGAGTAGACCATGTTTTGGTTAATAGGTCGAGTGGTCGGAGTACGGAAGAAAACATAATGGGTGGTGGTGATAGCATGGTTTGTCTGGATTGAAGTATGGATTGATAATGCTTTATTGTGTGGTGGATTTGATTTAAGTAGGGGTGTTATGATCTTAGAAAATAACTAATAATTGTATTATTATATGAGTTTTGATGTTTATTTTGTTAGTTCACCCTTACATTGATAGTTTCCACCTACGATGATGTTATCGATGTTGATGTTGTGTAGAGCGAGAGACGAGTGGGGAATTATTATCGATGTTTTCAAAAATTGTTTGACAATTAAATTATTTATGTTTTAGTACATTATTTCAAATTGTAATTGGATTAATTATTATTCCCGCATATTTTGTTATTTTGTGATAAGGAAATAAAGTTTTAAATTTTCACTATAATGTGATGTTGTTAGAGTTGTGCTTTTTCTAAAGAATCAACGTTCTTTTACTTATACATGACATCCTAAAATGGAATGTTATAAAAACAATTGACATAGAGAAAGTTTGCCAAAAGGACAAGAAAGGACAGTTGAATCATCAATACTCATCCCCTAATGTTAACTCGACAATGGCCCATTGAGTTTGTTCAATAAACACAAGATCAAATGAAGGACGATCCCATCCTAGACATGATATCCACCAAGAATGTGACTTTCAGGCCGTCACAATTGTCTAAGAACACTAGGGATTTTACCCTAAGTCAGGGCCTTTGACACCTCGAGAGTCTCGATTGTCATGTCATTCTAAGCTCATCCTCATCCATAGCTAAATGGATCCATGCACACACACCTCAAGGGCCTTCACCCTCATCTTAGACATTGAAGACATAAGTCCCTTAAAAGGAAATCATCAATGTTAGAGAATACAAAAAAACAAAAATGTAGAGGCTCATGTGAAGGAATATTTTACTTAGGCTAACATTCACACTTTAGACATAATGGTCCATGGTTGGCTTTTTCCTATCCACACTGATAAACATGCCTTAGAGTGGTACTATGTTGTTTGACCTAACTCAACCAATTCTTTTAACACTTCATATGCCATGTTTACCGCATGGTCTGTTGACCGCAAACTAGTGGTAGAAACATCAATCCCCCTTAAACATGTGGACGAGGGAGATCGTGAACCCTCCAACGATTTATGGAGTGCTTCATAATGACAAATTGATAGATTCTCAACTTGCATCTTGTCGTGCACGACCTCCTATGTGAGAATGTGACCCTTTCCTATACTTGTTCTTCATTGACTCCTAGGAGAATATGGATACTCTATCGGTCCGAGCAACTTGATAAATCAATATCGAGAAAAGTAGATATAAGCAAACTAAAAAAGGACCATACCTTCAAACAAAGGAAGGAAAGCAAGTATAGTACATGTATGCCTCTAAATGCAAGCTGAGATGTTATTTGGCTACCACATCCAAAGCATTCCCCCAATTCGAAGACCTAAATAAGCGGAGTAGTTATCACCAAAATATAGGTCGTATAATCGAGGAATGTAACCAGTTGAACAACATAATCAAAGAACTCATTCATTTAATGGAAAGGATTAATGACATGTGTTCTCCTTCTATTTGAGAAGTTTTTGCATTGGTCTCCAAGTTTGTAGAATTAAGATTTTGCTTCTCCTTTTTGTGAGACACCTCTATCATTTCTTTAACTATAAATTGAGGTGTCTCCCCATATATAATAACTATCTTTGAATTTGAGTAAAGTTATGTTGCCCATTTTGTATCATACTACTCCACACATTTCACTAAGGCTAGAGCATCCCGTATAGGTTTCCTTTATTCACTCTTCCTTAAGAGTTTGTCCAACCTCTCTTGAGAGCTCCCAAACACCATCATCTCATCATCATTAAGTCATCAAAATTTGAGTCATACATCACACTTCTTATAGCTTCTGTGCATCATCTTCATCTTTGAAGTCTCTAACTTAACTTGTGTCGTATATCTTGAAAGGAACCTTTCATCACATCTAGTCAAACCTGACACCTCTCCCCTAAAACCTCTTCATCATTACACTCTTCAAGGTTGCAGGGCTATTATACTTATAGCACGAGACCAAAGAAATATAAATTTTCTTTGCACATAAGGCACTAATATTAGCATAATGGCAACAACATAAAGACTCAAATATATACCATATTTAGCTTGGGGATAATGTACTACATACGTTCGAGAATATCTCGACCATCCAAGCCTAAATGTACTTGGACCATATGTTGTAAGGACACATAATATGCCTTGGTAACAACATGACGAATGAGCTTACATCGTATCGGCTAGGTTAACTCACATGGCAAGTATTGACTAAGTTAAAATTATTGTTAAAGCATGATTAGTAAAGTAATGACAGAAAAATTATTGAGAGTAAGTAGTTACGTGGATCATACCAATGTAGGTAAAAACTCATAAATATAATATAAATAACAAAATATTCAAGTTCTTGCATTTATTATTGTCTAACAAACTTGACTAACTTAGTGTTGGAATATATTCTAACAAACACATCTCTTTCGATCCATGAGAAGATTGACAAAAGACATCTTGATCCAAAAGTGTGAAGTTAGAGAGGAATACTTTTAGAATCTTTGCCATATATTCAACTCTGTAAGAAAAATAATCAATGCACCCATTTTTATTTTCAAAAACTTAACTGTGAACATTTTACATCTTTGGTTAATTTATGCAAGAGGTTTCATGTTTCCGAATTTGGGTGAATTAAGGTTGGAGAATTTAGCATACACGTGAGAATTGAAGTCGTAACGTGTTACAATTTTTACTTCTATTTATTCAAGTATTCACACTTGTTCATTACGACTTCAGTTAAGTTAATATATTTTTTTTTTCTTATTTTAACTGAAATTGTATTAGAAATTATGACGTTATATAACTTTTAATTATTTTTAACCATACAACAATATTAATTATTCACACACATAAATATTTATAATGAGATAATGTATTTTGGTTATTTTATTTTCATTATTTTTAATTTCTTCGTGTTTCTATTAATATCATCACAACTTTTTCTTCGCTTTATTATTTTTTCATACGTTAAATTAATTAAATTAATTAGTTAAATGAAAAAAAAATCATTAAACATAATAGAATAAAAACTAAAAATGAGTTTACTTTAAACAAATTAAAAATACATTTAAATAAACAAATTAAGAAAGAGTTTACAATAAAAAAAACATTAAACTGAAGTCTGCATTACTTCACACTTAAAAATAAAAATCTAAAATCAACGCTCCAGTTGAAACAACTGAAAAAAAAAATTACTGAATTCTCGTCATTAATGTGAAAACTTCCCTAAAAAAAGATACACGTTATTCGTCTTCAACTATCTTAAAGTCTTCATCCCTCTTACAACTTAACCCAATTTCCTAAAATTAAAAAAATCAAACCTCTTTACGTAAATTGAAAAGTAAATTAACCTAAATCTTACTCCCCAAATTAGTTACTAAAAAAATGAGCATTTCTAGTGAACATGCCTATTGAGACCAAGCATTCTCTCTCGTACACGTCCTTTACCAGGATGTTGCGTCTATAAATTGGAAACCTTTGCAACCACGACTTCTGTACAACCCAATTATCCTTTGTTGTGTGCTTCCCGTGAAATAACACACGTGGGTATCGTTCTCTGATGCAAACTTGATAGAGAGCTTCTTTCGTTTATCAGTTTTCTCTTTCGTTCCAAAGATGGAAGGGCTCCAAGAAGGCTTTGTTGTAAAAGGGGGCATAAAATTGCCGATTGGGTTCAGGTTTCGTCCCACAGATCAAGAGCTTCTCCTTCACTACCTCAAGAAGAAGGCCTTTTCTCAACAGTTACCTGCTTCGGTCATTCCAATCTGTGATGTCTTTCAGTCTGAGCCATGGCTGCTTCCTGGTTCTTTTCATTCTTTCTTTCTTACTTCTTTCATCAAAATCCCTTCAATTTTCGATCTATCTTTGTTTCAATTTCGCCAATTTCTTGTAGAAAATAATGCTAATTTAATAGAAATAAATTATATGGTTGGTGGGAATTTGGCTTATCAAGCGAATTCTCAGTCCATTTCTTGGGAATCTGATGGAGATTCAGTAATTCAAAACGTTGAATAGAAAGTTAACATTGAAATGTTTCGGTCAATTTCTAGCATAGACGAATAAAAAATATACTTTAATAGAATTTTTGTCTTAATATCGGAGGGTTTATTTAATATTATTTTTTTTAATTTATTTTATTCTTAATTCATTTTTCATTTTTTAAAAGAGTTTATGTAGTTGTTTCAGTTAGATTAATGTTAACATATTGGAAAAATAATCAAGGAATTTTGTAATCTTCCAATCTTTTATCTTTTTTCTGTTTCGACTCACTCTATCTCAAGATGAATAGAAAGAATTGAAATAATACAATCTGAAATAGTGAAGAATTAAAAAGATTTAGAGTCATTGACACGTGATTTTTCTTTTAAACGATATCAACACTAATTTAACAAAATAACTATATTAATTTCTTTTAAATAAAATGATATTTTAAATAAAGAAAAAAAATTGAATGAACTTAAATATTACGACAAAAAAAAACTTATTAAACAAAAAAAAATTATCAAAACTTCCATAGAATTCGAACCCCCGATAGCAGCCAAATTCGAGATAAACCGATGATGAAAAAAATAGACTGAAATTCAGTTATGGAATAATCGAATTCCCTCTTGATGCAATATTTGATGCTATTCTAGAAAATAAATTTAGAACCTTGTAAATTTTTTTGTTAAAATAGTAATATCGGTGGAAAAATATCCAATTTGGCAAGTGATTTTGGTAACCATATTAACAATGAGCCACCATAACAGAAACATTTTTCGCTCGAATCACTGATGAACAAGAAATTTTCATTATACTTTGATAAATCTTTAAGCCAGAATGGTCCAATAACGGCCGGTGAAATAGAAGAATAGAATGTCCACTTAGAACTCATTAGAATAGACTCTATGACTCTGATATACCATAGGTGAATTTAAGCCTAACTTAATCCCACAAAATCGGTTTATAAAGTGAGGTTTGCATCTTACTTGTATATTATAATTTGACCTTATCTCTAGTCGATGTGATACATCCATCACTTTTAAGTGCTAGAAATGGAAAATATGCGTAGTTTTCCTTGTTGAAGCATGATATTGAACTATTTTTGGTTAATCGTACTTGTAGGTGATTTGAGGGAAAAAAGGTACTTTTTTAGCAATTGTGGAAAAGTGAACAAGAGAAGTGCAGGTTCAGGTTGTTGGAAATGTGTTGGAAAAGAAAATGAAATAAGGGTTTGTGAAAACAATGAAGTAATTGGGATGAAGAAAACAATGATGTTCTGCAAAGGTTCCCATGAAACAAGAACTCGCTGGGTCATGCACGAATTGCGTCTTCTAACTTCCTACCCATATCATCAGGTAAACACAAATTAAGGACACTTTTAATATTTTCCGGAAATTTTATTATTTTACTTTTTGTTTTTTTTCGAAAAAAAATTAGGTGTTGAAAATTTTCTTTTCTGGTTAAAAATTATTGTTATCATAAATATATAATATTTTGTTCTTCTTGAACTATTTAATGTGGGAAATATATAATATATTTAAAATTATTGTTATCATAAATATATAATATTTTATTGTTAAAAATAATATTTTATTCTTCTTGTAAAATATTCATTCCTCTAATAATACTCACTTGAGTAATTTTATTAGGAAATTATTAAGCCACGTAACTGGAATGCTTATAGAATCGACAATGATATATATTCACTCTAATGATATTTATGTTTAAAATATGTATTGAGAGAGATTCGTTTCAATTTTTTTTTAAACTATTCTTGTTTTACTAATATTTATATAAGTTAAGATTTTCCATTAAGTTTTTTTACTGTCTTCTGCTAAACATGAAAGATGCACTGATATTAATATTTTAAAAATCTTTTTAATATATCTTAAGACATCAAAATCATGGTCTGTCAATGTATTTTAAAGATACACGAGAGAAACAATATAAAAAACTCAACTAAAAATTTCAAATTCTATTTATATCTAACAATTAATATGCAGTGTCCAAGTATAAAATAGAAGAATAAGAGTTAAATATATTTTTTATTCTTAAACTATAATATAAAATTAAAATGATGTTCCGCTCTTAAATTAAATTATAAAATATTTACTCTTTATATTTTAAAGTAATGCAAAACATTTTATATTGCAGAAATTAAATGTTTTATAATTTATTTTGGAGAAAAAAAATATAATTTTTTATAATAATTTAGAAAGAAAAATATTTAACTCAAAAAATAACTACTACTCACCATGAAATATATTTAGTAGCTTTAATTCGAACAAGAGGGTAATGTACCTAAGATGCATTATTGGCTATACTTTTCCATAAGAATTCATCCATTCTCCTGCAGATGGCAGTGGCAGATTTTGCTGTGTATGTCATATTTCAGAAAAGGAAGAAGATGACAAAAGCATCTCAGAAGAGACCCTTTTGTAGCAGCAAACTTCAGAGAGTACATGATGTTGAAGCTAGCATAATAGATTTTGAAATGGAATTTGGCAACGATAATATAGTGCTTCCGCCACCTTCTTCCCCATGTTGATGTGAAGACTGTAGTGAAACTTCTTAAGTAGACTAGGATTTAACTTATAGAGTAGAGCAGTGCTTGTCTCATATTTTATGCAATTGTATGAGATACAATTGTGAAGCCTCTAAAGCACCAAGTACGTTTATTTTACTTTGCAATAAATGAAACCACGTTTTAACTAACAGTCGTGTGTTTGTTTTCCCAGTTTGAACATCGTTCAACCATGCTTGTTTACACTTTTCAAGACAAAAGTAGAAGTCATATATTCATAGCGTTCAACTCAAAAATAAAACACACTTAGATTATTATTGATAAAAAACATAAGTCTAACTCAATCCTATTAATCGATATGTGAATTGAGATTTACGTATATCTATATACTATGAAATTGTCTTATCTCTATCTAATGTGAAATTTCCTACACACTCCTCTCACGCTAAAATATATAGATATCGAGTTTGGGACTAGACATTAATGAGTGGTCCAATAGTAACCCTATAGCGGATGGAACTAGAATAAACTTTATTGCATGACTCTCATACCATGTTAAATATAGTAAAAGTAGATATATGATTAATCTTCCATGTGTCTAAAACACGTATAGAATAATATATTTATAATGAAGAATGATACAAGTATATATAGCAACCAAACATAAATATAACAAATAGAAGATATTGTTAAAAAAATATCAATAATATCTACCAATATCAAACAATAGCAAAAGTTTGTGTTTCCCTAATTAATATAAAATGCAATATATCTAACACTCCCCCTTAAGCTTATGCATATAAATCGTATGTACCAAGCTTGTTATAATTATAATCGATTCTTGATCATCTTAAATACTCAATGAAAATATCTATTAACTGATCATTTGAGTTATCGAATTCAATTTTGATGTTTCTAGATACAATCTTTTTTCGAATGAAATGACAGTCAATTTCAATGTGTTTGGTTATTTCATGAAAGAGAAAATTATAACTGATATGAAGAGTTGTCTCATTGTAACATATAAGTGTCCTTTGAGTGACATCTCCAAATTGTAACTCTCTAAGCAACTATTTAGGCCAAACAAATTCACAATGTTAAATATAGTAAAATTAGGTATAAGATTAATCTCCCCTATGCCTAAAACATACATAAGGTAAAACATTTATAATGAAGAATGATACAAGTATATATAGAAACCAAACATAAATATGACAAACGTTGTACATCACTAAGTGATAATCAAACAAACTCTCAATATGTCTTAGTAGATAAAAGTGTAAAAATATATTTTTGGAAAGCATGTTCAAAAGTCTTAATTGATAGTCCAAAAACTTAGGATAGAAGTCACCATGCTAAACTCACTTGTTGAATAAAATGAAGAAAAATTTAAAGTGTTTACATAGGTTAGACGATACCATGTGTTAAACGATCTACTTTATCTAATGGTGAAGTTCTCATCAACTGCTTGGTATCTTAGTACAAAGCTTAAATGATCAAATCCTACCAGAATGGTAGAATACGCAGAAAGAACTTTGTTGTTTTGAACAGGCATTAAATGTCGTTAAATGCCCAATGTTTGAAAACAACAAATGGGATAATCCTCCAACTTCATATCTTCTCCAATTTGTCTTCCTAAACCACGCTTCACTATAACAAAAGATTTTCTATTGAAGGTCATTGAACAATTTAACATTTTGGTTAACTAGCTCAAGGATGTTAAATTGAAAAGACAATTAGGAATAAAAAGGACAGACTTTAGATTTAGGGAGGAGATGGGGAGACTTGACCTAATCCCTTTAAGGAAGTTTTAAAGCCATTTTGAAGGGTAATGAAATTAGATTTTTCTTTGATAGGAAATGATTGAGAACAAAGGTATTACCATGGATGTGATCAGAAGCACCCGACTCAATTACTTATGAATTTTGACCTTTTATGGATTGAGAAATGTAAGTTATTGATGAACTTGGAGTTTGAGATGTTTGTATTAAACTATTAGACTTTAACAGTAGATACTATTGATATTTGTCCTTAAAGAACTTGGAGTTGGTAGTTTCAACCTTAGAGAATTGGTTATTTTTTAAGGAAAATCATGCAAGGTGTAACAATTTTCTTAGGTGCCCATCCTTCCACAATATGTGCACTAAGAACACCCTCGACCTCCATGTCCTCTTTCTCTAGTGCCACGTCGTCCTCTTCCTCTTGTGATAACCATGACAGATGGTTCTACTAGTTCATAAGCTTCTTGAGTTTGAGGCACCAGAACATGAAAAAGGCATGTGGTCAAGGTATCCTTGGAAGAAATCTCATGACTGATTAGAAGTTGATCTCTGATGAAATCTCATGACTGATCAGAAGTTGATCTCTGATATGATCAAAGTTTAGATGTAAAGCACAAAAGTCATTTTGAGAGATGAAAGCTTATTTGCATAATCATATAAATGTTGGATATCGTTGGCATAGATGTTTTGAGCTTTCTTTCAAAAAAATTGAAATGTTTTGAAAGCTCTAAGGGACATCAGAAGTCATGATTCCATGGATTTCCATAACAAAGCACACAATTGAAAATCTTCTTGTTTCCACTGTTCAACTTTTTCAACAAGCACATGGTTTCCATCTTGCTTAAGGTGGTGGTCATGATGTTCTTCGTCAAGAAACCACATTTCAACACTAGAAGACTATGATAAATAATTTTTTCCATTTAGCTTCTTGGATGTAGTGGAGGGACCTCCAGAGAAATAACAGTTGTAGTAGCCATTTCTAATCACGGGAACAAAAAAAACAGTGTGGAGATGCTAAAACAGCAAGGGAAAACAAAAGCCCTAGGGTGATTTCCTTAAAGGTGGCTTCTAAACTTCACTATAATGAAGTTTCAAGGATCATAACATAGAGGGGGAGTTTGACAACAATTATGGAGGTGGTGCGATGACATTTAAACCAGGGGACGACGATGCGCAGATAGCACACGCCTAGTTACAATGAACAGAAATGGCGCATGTGGCAGCATGCGAGGGCAAACTGACCCTCGGTATTGGCAGGGTTGGTCGTCGCTTTGGGTGGCGATCTAGATTCGGTAATCATCAGACGAAACTACAACGGTGACTAGCGACAAACGATGGCAGATGATGACAAATCGTCAGATAACAATGGTTGACAACATTGGACAGTTTCAAAAGACAGTTGATAGCTGCATATAAAAGTGGACAACAACAAATAGAGCTAAATAGTCATGAACAACAATAACTATTGCATACGAATATGACAAAATAGAAACTAGAACGGAATAACCTATTCTCATACCAACTTTAGATTAAAAACAAATAAATATAATTTTAGAGGACTACTTGGACTATTCTCATGTTCTACTGTTTATATTTATAGAATTTATATAGTAAATAGTGAAAGGTCAAGAGACTATCCTAAACTCCTAGGTACCATAAATAAAAATAACCCACACATTATTCTCTACTTTAGTCTTTCCAACTTCACTAACCTAAATAGACTCAATAATTATTTCAACAAATATCAAGTTTAACCTAGCCAATTTAATTTACTCTATTTTCCTGGGCTTTGTTCCATCCTGATGTTACATATGTCAATTTTACTTGTTGGTTAATGAAAAAGCACATGTTTTGGCTAAAACGACTTCAATCCCTTGCTATTTTACACTTCAAAAGCTCAATGTATAGTGTTTTGCATGTGTTTTTACAATTATAGTGGATCCGTTGACTAAAACTTTACCACCTAAGAGTATAATGATAAGTTGTTAACAATATACATTATGGTTATAATGTTTATATTGCCTGATCGTTGTAATTTCCATTATAGATGTCTCTATTCTGTCATTCACATTACTTGGCATACATTATTGTTTTATTTAGTAAAATGATCGAATTTATCTTGAAAGGAAAATTAAAGATATCTATTACAGTTTAATATAAGTTAGATAATTTTTTATACATGGAAGGAAACTTGTTATACAATACACTTCTCCCAACGAACCACACCGAGTGTTTCATTACCACTTATTATTGCAATATTTGACAGGAACTAAATATCCAGGAGCTTTGAGAAGTCTGCGCCATCTATGTACATAGGAAAGGAAACTTCGAATTTTCATTATCTAAAAGGAACCAAAATCACGGGAAGACTACAATGTTTATAAACTAAATGAATTCCTATTTATGTATTTCATAAGAATATATATATATATATATATTGATTCTATTCTTACTCTTTCTTCATGGGAATTCTTTCTCTTCTCTTTCTTTCATGGTTCCTAAATTAACATGGAAATCCCTTAAACGGATACGAGTATCCGTCTTCTTCCTCCTCTCAACACACGCACACACAGGAAGCACACACAGGAAGCTTCTCTGAACACACGCACACACAGAGACAACATAAACCAGAGCAGAGCAGCACATCATCAACCTTAAACACAATATATTACATACATCTAAAACATATCATGCGAATGAAAAGCAAGAAACCGAAAACAAAGAAACAAGAACTACCTCTCGTAGACCCAAGCCAACCAAACCACCGCCGCACTGCCGCACACCCGCAGCACACAACACATCACACACTGCCGCACTGCCACAAACGGGTGGGAATGTGGAAAGAGAGGAACTGAGATTGGGAGAGTTGGGGTGGGATGCGCGAATGAAAGAAACAAATACGGGTGGGAATGTGGAAAGAGAGGAACTGAGATTGGGAGAGTTGGGGTGGGATGCGCGAATGAAAGAAACAATTATTTATTTATAAAAATATCTCAAAAATAGATATTTATTTAATAATTAAAATTAATCAAATAGTCTTGTTGTAATTATTTATTCGTATCTTTTATTTATATATAATTGTGAAGTTGAGTTTTTCATAAAACATGTTAAAGGGATTCAATTGTTTAATGGTGTTGTAGAAAATACTGTTCGCGTTTCAACTCACGAAAGTTATAACTAAATGTTAAAAAATAATGGAGTAAATTGTATATGTGATTTTTAGAAATTGGATAATTGACTTAAAATTTCCAGTTCAAGAATAAGTTATATATGGAGTCCTAACCATTTCTAAATTAAAATCGTTGTGAGTGATGACTTTTCTATAAAAATCAAAAAAAGTGAAGTCGTCATGAGTCTTATGGACTTCTTTGTAAATTTTTTGAATCAAAGTCATTAGGAATGGTAATGAC